CTGGGGCGGCAGCAGCTGGACACACAGCAGCTGGGGCGGCAGCAGGTGGTCCTGTAGCAGGTTGTCTGACAGCACTGGGGCCTGCAGCAGCTGGACACACAGCAGCTGGGGCGGCAGCAGGTGGTCCTGCAGCAGGTGGTCTGGCAGCAGCTGGGATGGCAGCAGTTCTCCAGGCCACAGCCCTGGTCAGAGCAGACAGAGCCACAACAGGAGTTGACCATGGTGTCAGAGGGTGGAGGTTCTGGATGGGTTTCCAGGAAGGTGGGTTTGGAAGGTTTGGAAGTCTCCTTGCCCCCAGATCCTCTTTTATACCCTGCTAAGGGCCAGTGTCATCAGATGCAGCACTCTTTCCTTGTTATTGTTTGTCCTGATAAGTAGTTAATTATCAAATTAGTCAAATGGTTTGTTTTTCTGGTTAAATTTGTCAACATGGAGGAAAGCATTATTTCCTTCCCCTGGTAGATTATGATTCCTCAGGTCAGCTCTTCTTGAACAACCTCTTGCATGTCTCTTGCTGTAGCTTCCTCCTGGAGCTGCCATGTGACATCTGCTTGTAAATACCATGTGCTGCAGCCTCATTTTCCTTAATACATTATGTTTGACCTTGGGTGATTTTGATTCTTCTAGGCCCATAATTTTCTTTTGGTAACTCAGGGGGAGAAAGCTGTGCTTTAATTTCATGGCATGTTTGTTATGGATCAAGTGGGCAATGAAGGTTTGAATGTGAAACAGGTGACCAGTGGCATGAAAACACAAATACTATTAGGATATATTCTTTGCCCTCTTCCATACAATGAATCATAACCGATTGTCTAGATTTTCTGATGGGGAAAGCAGAATTGTTTTAAGGTGGACATCTAAGTCATTAATTATTGATGCTTCTTTTTCTTGAGAAACAACACTCCAAAACTCAGTTTCAGGGACTTCAAGGGAAATTGGCTACAGAGCTATACTAAAGGGTTCAGGTCTCTCAGCTCTCTGCCCCGAGGGGCTGATTTTCCTTTTGACTTTTCTTTCCTGTCTCACTGACTTTAACAGGCACGTTGAGTCATCGCCTCTATTTCTAAGGTTTACTTGCTAACCTGAGGTAAAGGGCCCAGTGTCCTTGCCATATGTATATATACACACACCGTATATAATATACAGACACATATACACCATATATAAATATACACACGTACACACACATATATATACACCATATATAAATATACACACCATATATAAATACACACACACACACACACACACACACACACATATATATACACACATATCCCCACACACACATATCTATATACACCATATATAAGTATACCCACATACACACACACGTATACAGGTTTGGGGCCATATATATATGTATATATGTATTCCTAAGACAAAAACCTTAGGAATATATATATACACATAGTACTTTACTTTATATATAGGTAATATAGGAATATATATATTTATATATTTATGAATATGTATAATACATATTCCTAATATATATTCCTTATATATATTTGTATTTAATAATATGTATAAATATATAATATATATAAAAACATATTCAGGAATATATATTTTATATGTATATATATATATGTATTTACCTTTATTTCCTAAGGCCCTTTACCTTAGGAATATTACACACACACACACACACACACACACACATACACACACACACGCACGCACAGTCCTCCAAACCTGGGTGTTAAGGAAACCCAAGGATGGGGGCCCAAACTTCCTTTGTGCCACATTCTTCCAATTATGTGTCACCCTCCACTTTAGGATGCTCTTGTGTTAGCAATTCCTGTTTGGACTGGTCTCTCTGAGGATAGCTATGGATGCCTCAACTCTTCTGAGTGAGGGTCTTTCCATAAAACATGCTTCTCAAAATATTTGGGGGCCATGAAGGTAAGAAAGAGTGAGTATGCCAAATGGCAGAATCATGGTTCTGGAAGCTACAGAAATACTCTTACAAGGGATCAAACCTAACAAGATGAAATATCAGAGCCAAATGTAGATCAATTGAGTGGTTATTAATGCACCATGGTAAACAAGATTGGGGAGGAGTAAATATATCTACATTTATTGGGAGTATTTATTTAACAACACACACACTCTAAGGTTGTGTCAACTATTAGCACCCCTTCACCAGATAAAATATTACAGGTTGAGGACATCTTATCTGAAAATTCGAAATCTGAAATGCTCCAAAGCCCAAAACTTTTTGAGTACATACATGATGTTCAAAGAAAATGCCCAATAGGGCATTTAGGATTTCAGGTTTTTGCATTAGGCATGCTCAGCAAGTATAATGTAAATATTCCAACTCTGAAAATACATGAAATTTGAAACACTTCTGGTGCCAAGCATTTCAGATATGCAGTACTCAACCTGGACCACCACAATGAGCCCAATTACTCCAGGCACGCAGTAGAAAGACAGGTTGAGAACTTCTGGTCTAGAAACAGCCACTGTATGTGTATAAGAGCTTGAAGCAGTTTATAATGAAGACTACTAGGTGCCGCACACTCTACTAACCTCAGTATTAGTTCACACTTACTGCCAACCACTTACTGCCACTAACCCTGTGTTAACTCCTGCATGCAAACTTGAAACATTCATAAAAGTGGGACATTTACTAAGGCAGATGAGGCATTTCTAATCCTAACAGAGTATTCAGAACACACCTGGAAAATGCATTTCAAACCAGGCTAGAAGGATACAGATAAATTGTAGTTTATGAAAAGTAATGTTGCTCTGAGAGTGACATTATGATCTGTGAGGAACGAATGAAAACGATTTGGAGATTTAACCTAAAAAGGAGAAAACTGGAGCAAAGCAATGGCAGTGCAGCTTAAAGGGGCTCTATGTGAGATTGGGTTTGCCCAGGAGGCTACCATGGGCTGATATAGGCTAGGGAGACAGGATGCTCCTAAAAAGAAACAAAATCTGACTCACCATGAGAAGGTGCTCTATGAAATGGGCTGCCTCTAGAGATAATCGGGGGAGGGCCTTCCATGTGAGCTGTTGTTGCTGACTGAGGCACATACAAGAACCAGACACAGGAAATTGGATGAAATTGCTTTGAGCTTCCCTCTCTGCACTCAGGTACATGTAAGTCTAATAAGTGGAATATGATGCTGTTATATTGCTAACCGTTTTCTACTGCTGTGTATTGCTAACCAGTTTCTACTACTGCCTTGGTGCTGATTTCCAGGCTTACATAGCCAGGATGATAACAATCTGGGCTCTGTGAGTGGACCACTGCTCGGAGCACTGGCTGGGGTTCTGAGCCTACACTGGCTGTGATGTGCCCAGACACAGCATCGTATTGCAGTCCTGAGCCGTTTTCCTTAGTCAGCGTGAACAGAAGCAGGTTCTGAGCTGTTACAGGGTTAAAACTCTGGTGAGCCCCTTTATGGTGTTTGAGAATGACTCTAAGATTTTCCTGAGACTTTGTATTTTCAAAAAAGAATCACACCCTTGAGGAACCCTGATGACTGGTGCCTACCAGTAGAGATAACTTTTATTTACATTAATTGGCTATTTTTTTTTCTTTTTAAGATGAGCATGTGTGTTTTTCTTCATATAAGTTTGCATTATGTTTAGAAATTTCTCATGATTTCTTCTAGTACTTTAGCACTTTCATTTTTCCTGTTTTATTGAGGTATTTGGCAAATAAAATTTGGTATATATCAAGTGTGCAACATGATGACTTGATATGTATGAATTGTGAGATGATTATCACAACGAAGTTAATACCTTATTACCTCACATAGTTATTATTTTCTGTGTGTGTCGTGAGAACAATAAGATCTACTTTTCCAGAAAATTTCAAGTTCTCAATACAATGTTATTAACTATAGTCACCATGCTTGTTATTAGATCCCTAGAACTTAGTACCAATGTCAGATTTGGGGATTTGACACGTACTATGGTTCTATGAGAAGTGACCACTGGGGGGACCTGGGTGAAGGGTACAGGGAACTTTGTCTTATTCCATTCATGTTAATCTGTAGTTATTTCAAAACAAAGAGTAAAAAAAAATACAACAGAGGCTAATTGGAAGTAAAAGAGAGCATGCTTTTATTTGTCAATCAGGTACTTTTATCTCATTGACATTTTATGACAACCTTCATGTGTTTTTGAGTTATTATGATCCTTTCGTAAGAGAAAAGTAATCCTAGGTTGACAGAGTTTAAATACCATGCCTAAGATCATAGTTGGTATGCAGTACAGTGAGAATTCAGTCTCAACTCTCTATAATTCTCACATCCACAGAATATACTCTACACTGAGTTGCTTCTACTTAAATCAGTTTAAATCACATCATGGAATGTAGTTTATTGAAGACTCGTGCTGACAGTTACATTCCACAGCTTTCACGTTATATGTGTTAGGTCCAAAAATGTCTTCTCCTATTTCTATTATGAGACTGAATTCTGGCTTGGATAAAATCTCACTGGAGAATGCCAATTGAATGTTTTAATTATGAGGGTGTTTGACNACACACACACACACACACACACACACATACACACACACACGCACGCACAGTCCTCCAAACCTGGGTGTTAAGGAAACCCAAGGATGGGGGCCCAAACTTCCTTTGTGCCACATTCTTCCAATTATGTGTCACCCTCCACTTTAGGATGCTCTTGTGTTAGCAATTCCTGTTTGGACTGGTCTCTCTGAGGATAGCTATGGATGCCTCAACTCTTCTGAGTGAGGGTCTTTCCATAAAACATGCTTCTCAAAATATTTGGGGGCCATGAAGGTAAGAAAGAGTGAGTATGCCAAATGGCAGAATCATGGTTCTGGAAGCTACAGAAATACTCTTACAAGGGATCAAACCTAACAAGATGAAATATCAGAGCCAAATGTAGATCAATTGAGTGGTTATTAATGCACCATGGTAAACAAGATTGGGGAGGAGTAAATATATCTACATTTATTGGGAGTATTTATTTAACAACACACACACTCTAAGGTTGTGTCAACTATTAGCACCCCTTCACCAGATAAAATATTACAGGTTGAGGACATCTTATCTGAAAATTCGAAATCTGAAATGCTCCAAAGCCCAAAACTTTTTGAGTACATACATGATGTTCAAAGAAAATGCCCAATAGGGCATTTAGGATTTCAGGTTTTTGCATTAGGCATGCTCAGCAAGTATAATGTAAATATTCCAACTCTGAAAATACATGAAATTTGAAACACTTCTGGTGCCAAGCATTTCAGATATGCAGTACTCAACCTGGACCACCACAATGAGCCCAATTACTCCAGGCACGCAGTAGAAAGACAGGTTGAGAACTTCTGGTCTAGAAACAGCCACTGTATGTGTATAAGAGCTTGAAGCAGTTTATAATGAAGACTACTAGGTGCCGCACACTCTACTAACCTCAGTATTAGTTCACACTTACTGCCAACCACTTACTGCCACTAACCCTGTGTTAACTCCTGCATGCAAACTTGAAACATTCATAAAAGTGGGACATTTACTAAGGCAGATGAGGCATTTCTAATCCTAACAGAGTATTCAGAACACACCTGGAAAATGCATTTCAAACCAGGCTAGAAGGATACAGATAAATTGTAGTTTATGAAAAGTAATGTTGCTCTGAGAGTGACATTATGATCTGTGAGGAACGAATGAAAACGATTTGGAGATTTAACCTAAAAAGGAGAAAACTGGAGCAAAGCAATGGCAGTGCAGCTTAAAGGGGCTCTATGTGAGATTGGGTTTGCCCAGGAGGCTACCATGGGCTGATATAGGCTAGGGAGACAGGATGCTCCTAAAAAGAAACAAAATCTGACTCACCATGAGAAGGTGCTCTATGAAATGGGCTGCCTCTAGAGATAATCGGGGGAGGGCCTTCCATGTGAGCTGTTGTTGCTGACTGAGGCACATACAAGAACCAGACACAGGAAATTGGATGAAATTGCTTTGAGCTTCCCTCTCTGCACTCAGGTACATGTAAGTCTAATAAGTGGAATATGATGCTGTTATATTGCTAACCGTTTTCTACTGCTGTGTATTGCTAACCAGTTTCTACTACTGCCTTGGTGCTGATTTCCAGGCTTACATAGCCAGGATGATAACAATCTGGGCTCTGTGAGTGGACCACTGCTCGGAGCACTGGCTGGGGTTCTGAGCCTACACTGGCTGTGATGTGCCCAGACACAGCATCGTATTGCAGTCCTGAGCCGTTTTCCTTAGTCAGCGTGAACAGAAGCAGGTTCTGAGCTGTTACAGGGTTAAAACTCTGGTGAGCCCCTTTATGGTGTTTGAGAATGACTCTAAGATTTTCCTGAGACTTTGTATTTTCAAAAAAGAATCACACCCTTGAGGAACCCTGATGACTGGTGCCTACCAGTAGAGATAACTTTTATTTACATTAATTGGCTATTTTTTTTTCTTTTTAAGATGAGCATGTGTGTTTTTCTTCATATAAGTTTGCATTATGTTTAGAAATTTCTCATGATTTCTTCTAGTACTTTAGCACTTTCATTTTTCCTGTTTTATTGAGGTATTTGGCAAATAAAATTTGGTATATATCAAGTGTGCAACATGATGACTTGATATGTATGAATTGTGAGATGATTATCACAACGAAGTTAATACCTTATTACCTCACATAGTTATTATTTTCTGTGTGTGTCGTGAGAACAATAAGATCTACTTTTCCAGAAAATTTCAAGTTCTCAATACAATGTTATTAACTATAGTCACCATGCTTGTTATTAGATCCCTAGAACTTAGTACCAATGTCAGATTTGGGGATTTGACACGTACTATGGTTCTATGAGAAGTGACCACTGGGGGGACCTGGGTGAAGGGTACAGGGAACTTTGTCTTATTCCATTCATGTTAATCTGTAGTTATTTCAAAACAAAGAGTAAAAAAAAATACAACAGAGGCTAATTGGAAGTAAAAGAGAGCATGCTTTTATTTGTCAATCAGGTACTTTTATCTCATTGACATTTTATGACAACCTTCATGTGTTTTTGAGTTATTATGATCCTTTCGTAAGAGAAAAGTAATCCTAGGTTGACAGAGTTTAAATACCATGCCTAAGATCATAGTTGGTATGCAGTACAGTGAGAATTCAGTCTCAACTCTCTATAATTCTCACATCCACAGAATATACTCTACACTGAGTTGCTTCTACTTAAATCAGTTTAAATCACATCATGGAATGTAGTTTATTGAAGACTCGTGCTGACAGTTACATTCCACAGCTTTCACGTTATATGTGTTAGGTCCAAAAAATTCTTCTCCTATTTCTATTATGAGACTGAATTCTGGCTTGGATAAAATCTCACTGGAGAATGCCAATTGAATGTTTTAATTATGAGGGTGTTTGACAACATGTACTCCTGTTTTGTGCAGAAAAAGGGACAGAAATACACATATACCATTATATTAATAACAAATGAAAAGAGATGAGCATTTTGGTGCTTTTGAACATTATGAAGTTTTATTGAGGAACATCGAACAACTGCACATGAAAATTGATTCCATAGAAAAACACTAGGAAGAAGCATCTAGAAGGGTACCATTTGAAGACTTAGGTATATTGAATTAGAATAAAGAATTCTAAAACATAAAATATGGAATTTGACTGTAAATTCAGATTCAATAGTAATAGAAAGCTTCTATAAAAGAGAATAAATACTAACAAAGAGACTAGGCTTTTCCAAATCAGTCCATGCCTCTGTTTTCATGACATCAGAAAGTCTACATGTTCTCTGAATCAATGCTCTCTGTCTGAACTGAAGGATAAGAGCAAGAAGGTGCTCAAATCCTGAGCAAGTCACTCAGCAGCAAGAATTGCCACAACAGATGGGGCGGAAGCAGGTTGTTCTACAGCAGGTGGTCTGGCAACAGGAGGGGCGGCAGCAGCTGGACACACAGCAGCTGGAAGGACAGCAGCTAGAAATGCAGCAAGCCGGGTGGCAGCAGGAGGGCTGACAGCACTGGGGCCTGCAGCAGCTGGGGCGGCAGCACGTGGTCCTGCAGCAGGTGGTCTGGCAACAACTGGGTCTGTAGCAGCTGGAGATACAGCAGGAAGGCCTGCAGCAGCTGGAGATACAGGAGGAAGGCCTGCAGCAGCTGGAGATGTAGCAGCTGGGGCGGCAGCAGGTGGTCTGGCAGCAGCAGGGGCAGCAGCAGCTCTCCTGGCAGAGACCTCGACCACAGCTCTGGTCAGAGCAGACAGAGCCACAACAGGAGCTGACCATGGCGTCAGAGGGTGGAGGTTCTGGGTGGGTTTCCAGGAGAATGGGGTTCTGGAGTTTAGAAGTCTC